CCAAGTAGGATGAATAGTTTGATCCAAACTTTTGAACAAGAAAAGACTTTGGAGCCTCCTCTTCTCTTGGAACCAAGTATTTCTAGGTTCTAGAGAAGCTACAAAGCCGCAAGCTGATGATAGGGTAGTTGCAGAAAGGAAAGTTGGGGTTGGAAACATGGAATGGTGGAGAGGGGAATAAAAATTTGGGAAATGTTTGAAAGTTTATTTGAGGACCTAAAAATAGATGAACTTGAGAAGGAAAGTAGTAATAAGGAGCGAGAGGGTGGGACTAGTTCTGAAACTCTTATAATGAATCTTKGAGAAGATTTAGATGACTCAAGGAGGAGAGAAGTTTTAGATCCCCTGGTAGAAAAATTCAGGGAATACTTGGGTGATTCAAGTTTGAGAGAAAATATCTCTGAGTTGAGTGATTCAGTGGATGAATTTGTGGAAAAACTTGGGTGCAGATTGCAAAATCCAAATGACTTAAAACTTATAAAAAAAACCCAAATGACTTTTTTTTGATAATTGAAAGAAATTTATTAATCAGCAATGGTAAATAGTACAATGTCYCCAAGGAGAGGCACGAGATGCAACCTCTCCAAGCTAGTTAAGTACAGCTTTCCAATATACTATAACAAGTTACAATGTAGCACAAAAAAGATCCTCCCTGGAAACCCCCTGTTTGGCCAAAGAATCAGCCATAGTATTAGCTGACCTGCTTACCCATTTTACCTCAACTCTCATATTAGTAGTTAACCACTTTACTAAAAACCCAAACGAATTAAAAACTTATTTAAGAAAAAATAAGGAGGATGGGAAGATCGGGAAGAGAAAGCTGAGTGAAGTGGAGAGAGTGAGAAGAGATGTGGAGGGAGATATGGAATTCAGTGAGAGGAGGGGGGAATCAGAGGAATAGATAGAATAGGAAGAAGGGGAAAAAGAGACAGGAAGAATGAAGATAATCAGTTAGAAGGGGTGCAGATTGCCAATGAGTTACATTTAGCAGATGTGGTGATAGAAGGGGATTTAAAAGTGGTGGTTGGGTGGGTGTTTAAAGGACCTAGACTGTATAATCTGGTGCTACAGTAATGAAATGAAGAAATTTAAGTGGCTTACTAGGAACATGAATCTCAGGATACATTGGGTGAGGAGATTTGCAAATGGGATGGCAGATGCATTGGCTGAGCAGGGGTGAATAGGGATTTATTGTTTTGGGCTCAATCGTATCTTTTCTTTGCTTTTTATAGAGAGGTAGCATCTCGTGCCTCTCTAAGGGATGCTTGTAAAGTCTTTTCTTGAAGATTAATAGAAGTTCGGTTTATTCATAAAAAAATATGGTGTGCTGGTAGATTTAAATTTTGTATTTCATTTCCATTGTTAATAAAAATACTTCTTGTCATATTTATTTTTGTTTAATATGATAAATATATAATATTAGAGATGTGCATGTTTACTTTTTTGACAAATTTTTGTATTTTCTGTATTTTTTATTTCTATCTATTTTTGAAGTTTTTATTATATAATTATGACATCATGTGATTTGACTTGAAAGAAAATACAATCTTAAATTTTCTATAGGATGGGTTGTGAGAGACATGGAAGGCAAACTGATAGCCTTGTTTTCTGGCCCAGTGGGGATCGGGGACTCTCTCAAGGCAGCCTTACAAGGAGCACAAATTGCTAATGAACCGAACATAATCAATTTGGTGATTGAAGGGGACTAAAATTGGTGGTGGGTTCGTTAAACGATCCAGAATCTGTAATATTGTGCTATAGGGATGAGATAAAAAAGTTTTTATGGATCACCAAGAATATGAACTTGGGGATACAATGGGTGAGGRGATTGACAAATGAGTTAGCTGATACTCTAGCCAAGCAAGGGGTGAATAGACAATCTTTGTTCTGGGCTCACTTCTAATATTTTCTGTTCTGTTTTGTTTATAGAGAGGTAGCATCTCGTGCCTCTCTAAGAGATGCTTGTAATGATTATATCCTTCAGAATTAATAAAACCTAATCTCGTTTATAAAAAAAAAATCTATTCCATTTCATAATTAATTATATAATTCTTGTTTCACACTTATCTTTGTTTAATATGATAAATTTATAATATTTGYGATATGTCAAAATTTTACATAAATTTTCTATTTTTATAATTTTGTATTTCTATCTATTTTTTATTTTTTAATTATGGCATCATTTGTTGGTTCATTTTACTCAACTGTTGGACTGTTAGGGTGTGAGTCAAACAGTCAGTCATGTTGGGTCGTGTTTTAGGCTTTTAGCTCAGCCCAGGCCCAATCCTATGCATTGGGCCTACAACTTGAGCCTAAGGTAAAGTCTAATATGTTCAACCTGGGACAACTTGCACCAAAATTTGAACTTGGGTTAGGCTCAGGCTCAGGTTCAGGTTGGTTAATCAGCCCATAATAAAACATGACATAAATGTATGTGTGTAATATATGTATGCATTTATATAAAAAAATCATGTCTATAACCTGAAAATAGAAGAGCCCCAACTTTTGGGCAAACACCTAGCCTGGACTGAAACCAAGCCAGCCAATCTAAAATTTTGCAGACTAGGTCATTTTGGGCTTGAGTTAAGCTTGCCCAATTCGCACCCCTATGGACCATTGACCACCAATTAGATGGAAAAGTAGTTTTACGTTTTGAGTTAGTTTAGTTTTTTATTCTATTTCCATCATTAATAAAAATAAGGGAAATTGTCTAAAACTCACCATGAGTTTT